TAGAATAGAATAGAATAGAATAGAATAGAATAGAGTAGAGTAGAACAGAACAGAACACAATGCAATGGCAACACAATACAGTAGAATAGAAAAGAAAAGAACACAATGCAACACAATACAGTAGAATAGAAAAGAAAAGAACACAATGCAACACAATACAGTAGAATAGAATAGAATAGAATAGAATAGAATAGAATAGAATACAGAATACAGAATATAGAATACAGACTAGACTAGACTAGACTAGAATAGAATACAGAATACAGAATACAGTAGAATAGAGTAGAGTAGAATAGAATAGAATAGAATAGAATAGAATAGAATAGAATAGAATAGAATAGAATAGAATAGAATACAGTGCAGTGCAATAAATACAATACAATACAATAGAACGTAAAAGTAAGAATGGAATAAAATTCTTTATTGGTCAAGTAAGATTGGACACACCAGGAATTTTTTTCCGTTGTGATGAGAAGATGCGGAGGCTGATAGCAACACAGCCTAATCCATGGGGCAATATCTTTAGGCCGGGGGGGGGGGGGGGGGGGAGAAAGAACTACCTTTGTGTCTAGTTGTTTTGGCCCGCAATGCCCTAAAGCAGCGAGACATTTGAACAGGTGATCTCCAGGATGTGAGAGGCCTGTAATGATTTCCTGGGCCAGTAATGCTACCCAGGCGTATTTGCAGGCCCTTTAATCCTGCATTTCTGCGCCTGACTTCAAGCATCTAATTTGTTCCCATCTGCCTCTGCATTATAATTACTGTTTGTTGTAGCTGTGGGCCATTTTAACGGGGAAGTAGGGACCTTGTTTAATGTATGCAAAGCAGCAGCTGACTAGCAACCACAACAGGCCGGCTGGAGGGGCCTCCATTTGTGACCCGGTGCTCCCAGGCCGTTAGCAAAAACTGTAATTCGTTTGCCTTCCCCCTTCGGATAACAATGAGCTCTCCCGTGCCACCGTCAACCAAGCCTGGGCTGGGGTGGATCCCGAGGGCCCCTCTCGCAATCCAGAGCAAGGGGCTCTTCCCCCTAGGGATCCTGACCCATTGAGGCATACAAGCCGTGTCCTTGATAACGCCGGAGCGAACTGGGGCTGGCCGAAGGGGCCTCCTCGAACAGATGCGTCTGTCGTTATACCGCGTGGCACATTGGAAGCAGGAGCAGATTCCTGCCACAAGCGAAGACCAAAAGAAATGTGTGTGGGGAGAAAGGGGCTTGTTTGAACTGATTCATGAATAATTCCCAGCCGGTGCTGTGGCAAGGCCTCCGGGCAAAATAAATAAAAGCAAAGCAGAATATTTATTTCCGTCCCTGTTCCTGTTTCGACGGAGAATTAGAGTTCGGAGTCAGGAAACTCTGCGGTGATCTCAGCCCAGTCAGGGTTGATTTTGACATATGCTTCACGTGCAACCTTCGTTGTTGTTGTGGTTCAGGCGTTGGGTTGGTCCATTTGTTTCTTGGCTACCTCGGGGTGAAAAGGGTTCAAGCCACAATCCCCTCTTGTGAATCCCCTTTGCCAAGAAAGAACAGGGATGCAAATGTAGGAGAAACGTTAGAAAGTCAGTAAAAGTCGCCTTTCCCACCCCCTGTCTCCTTTTCTACTTATGACTGCAAGCGTTTGTTGCTTGTATCTTTACGATTTATATTGCTTTATTCAGTTTCCTAGAATGATTGATGTTGATTGCTTGTTTAGTATCCTATGACTATCACGAAGCTTCCTGCTTCTTACCAAGAAACTGGAGTCAAACTGAATTCAAAACGAATAATTTCATTGCTATTCAAGGAGAGAACCAACCTAACAGTGAGGAGGAATTTCCTGACAGGGAGAACGATTCATCAGGGGAAGGGCTTCCCTCCAGAAATTGGGGGGGGGGGCTCCAACGCTGGAGGCCTTCAAGAAGAGGCTGGGCAGCCATTTTGTCGGAGGTGGTGCAGGGTCTCCCGCTTGAGCAGAGGGTTGGACTAGCAGACCTCAAGGGTCCCTTCCAACTCTGTTATTTTGTAAAAGTTCAGAAGAGAAGGATTGGGGGGACATGATAGCAGACTTCCAATAGTTGAGGGGCTGTCACAAAGAAGGGGAGGGGATCGGCCTATTCCTCCCCCTGTTCTTGTCTCGCACCTCAGCAAGATCAGAAGTAACAGGTGGAAAAGAACAAAAGGGAGATCCAACCTAGAACTAAGAAGAAATGTCCTGACAGGGAGGACAATTAACCAGAGGAACCACTTCCCTCCAGAAGTTGTGGGGGCTCCATCACTGGAGGTTTTGAAGAAGAGAGTGGATGATCATTTCCAGCTAGAGCAGGGAGGGGTTGGACTAGAAGACCTCCAAGGTCCCTTCAAACTCTGCTATTCTGTAAGGCAACTCTGGACAAGTCAATCAAAACACATCCAGTTCACAGGTGAAGTTTCCATTGGGTCCTGCGCAACGTAGCCCCACAAGAGGCAGGGTGGCGCAGTGGTGAGAGTGCAGGACTGCAGGCTCCTTCTGCTGCCGGCTGACTGCCTGCAATTTGGCAGATCGAATCTCACCAGGCTCCAGGTGGACTCGGCCTTCCCTCCTTCCCAGGTGGGTCCAATGAGGAGCCAGATTGTTGCGGTTTGCAAGAGGCTGACTCGGTAAAATCTCTTAGAGGGGGCTGGAAAGCACCGTGAAGCTGTAGATAAGTGTAAGGGCTTCTTCTGTTCTGTTCAGTTCCTGTCCTATCCTATGCTATTCACCATGGTGGTGCAGTGGTTAGAAAGCAGTATTGCAGGCTAACTCTGCCCACTGCCCAGAGTTTGATCCTGACCGAAGGTTGACACAGCCTCCCATCCCTCCGAGGTGGGTCAAATGAGGACCCAGATTGTTGGGGTTTGCAAGAGGCTGACTCGGTAAAATCTCTTAGAGGGGGCTGGAAAGCACTTTGAAGCGGCATATAAGTCTAAGGGCTATGGCTAGATTGCTATTTTCCCCACCGGTGAGTCCATTCCTTCTTGTAGCTTTGATCCAACCGTTGCTATGGCAAACCGTCACTAATGAAGGTGGGCTTCCTCACAAGATACGGAGGGACGGATGCTATAAATCCCATGGCAGTGGTCCCATCCGCTGACCCCGTGCAGTTTTTAAAGAGCTTGAAACACATCCGGGGGGGGGGGGAAGGTTGTCAGCTCCAATAAGGAAGCCATCCACCCTTTTGATTTGAGCTGGTGGGAAAGAGAAACGGGCGGGTGCAACTGAGCTCATGCCCAGGAGGCATCTGGCTGGCTTTTTGCAGAAGCAGGCTGGTAGAACAGATGGTCGGACCTTTGGCTTTGGGCTGGAGACCCCAGGTGAGAAGCTCTGTACCGCCAAACCCCTGGCAAAATGGAGAGGGGCAGTGACCTTTAACTGAAACATGCTTTAACAGATTAACAGAGCTGGAAGGGACCTTGTGAGTCATCTAGTCCAACCCCCTGCCTAAGCAGGAGACCCTACACCATTCCTGACAGAGGGCAGTCCAATCTCTTCTTGAAAGCCTCCATTAATGACGCTCCCACAACTTCCGAGGGCAACTTCTGTTCCATGGGTGGATTGTTCTCCCTGTCAGAAAGTTTCTCCTTATTTCCAGGTTGAATCTCTCCTTGTTCAGTTTCCATCCTTTATTCCTTGTCTGGCCTTTGGGTGCCTTGGAGAACAGCTTGACCCCCTCCTCCTCTCTTGTGGAAACCCCTCAAATATTGGAAGATGCTCTCCTGTCTCCCCTGGTCCTTCTCTTCCCTAGACTAGCCAGGCCCAGTTCCTGCAACCGTGGATTGCATGTTTTAGCCTCCAGCCCCCTCATCATCCTGGTTGCTCTTCTCTGCACTTTTTCTAGACATCTTCAACATATTTTTTAGAGTGTGGTGACCAAAACTGGATGCAGTACTCTAGGTGTGGCCTTACTAAGGCTTTACAGAGTGGTATTAGTACCTTCCTTGATCTCGATTGTCTCCCTCTGTTAATGCAACTTAGGATTGCGTTGGCTTTTTTGGCTGCTGCTGCTGCACACGGCTGGCTCCTATTTAGCTGGTTGTCCACTCAGACTCCAAGATCCCTCTCCCAGTTCCTGCTATTAAGAAACCTAGTTTCACCCAGTCTATATGGGTCCTTTGGGTTTTTCCTGCCTAAGTGTTGGACTTGACTTTTCCCCACATATACATATATGGATTCAGCTGCAAACCACGTTTGGTGTCACTGCAGTGAATGAGAGGGAGAGAAGCAGAAAACTGGCCTGGATGGAACCAGGTGATTCTAAATAACAGGAGGAAGAGCAATCTACCAACTACAGGTAGTCCTCGACTTACGAGCACAATTGGGGCTAACATTTCTGCTACTAAGCGAGACAGCGTTTAGGGAAATTAGCTCCATTTTCTGAGCTTGCTTGCCACAGAGCGACTGAGTGAATCCCTGGAGTTGTCAAGTGAGTCACACAGTCGCTAAGTGAATCAGGCTTCCCCCATTGACTTGGCTTGTCCGAAGGTCACCAGAGGGGATCAGCTGATGCTGCGACCGTCGTAAATACGAGTCAGTTGCCAACCATCCGAATTTGGATCAGAAAAACGGTCATGTCACTTTTCTTCAGTGCGGTCGTAAGATTGGTTTAACAATTGCGCTAATAACTTAACAACTGCAGTGATTCATTTAACAACGGTGGCAAGAAAGGCCATAAAATGGGGCAAAACACACTTAAGTGCCTTGCAGAAATTTGGGGCTCCGTTGTGGCCGTAAGTCGAGGACCACCGGTTGTGTCTTCAGCTGAAACCTCCGATTGATAAAATCACTTTGGGGCGCTTAGAAAAACCATTTTGCAGCTCAATGGAGTTTGGCTTTCTCGGTTTGGCCTTCGCTTGGGAACGGAGGTGGCCTCGCCCCTTGTTGGTTGGCTTTTAAATTCTCTGTCCCCCTGGCTTCCTTCCTTCTTTCCTTCTTTGCTGGCTTGTTTGGAGGAATATCGCTTGATTTCCTGACTCTCAACATTTGCTCCGCCGGCTTTCGTTGCAGGTGGCCAACTTGGCTTGTTCCATTTCCAATAACGAAGAAGGGGTGAAGTTAGTCCGGATGGCAGCAACCCAGATTGACAGCTTATGCCCACAGGTGAGTGTTAGGGGTGTCATTTGGAGGGGAAGCAGGAACCACCTTTACAAGCCCCTGCCATGCCGTGGTCTGGAATGGTGTCCAACTCCAGGCCTGTGTCGATCTGGACCCTGGGGCCAGCCTGGAAATAGACGAGGATCCACTCACGGTGCTTCCGCTAGCGAAAATGGGGTGTGGGGGGTCCCCTGTGCCCCGTTTTGGGCCTGGGGGGCCTCTTGGAGCACTCAGGGCACCCCGTTTTGGCCAGCAGGGAGCGGCAGGAGGCCCTCCAGGCCAAAAGTGGGGCAAGGGGGGCCGTTGGCATCCTCCGTGCGCCCCGTTTCCACCGGCAGGTGCTGCCCACACAACCCAGCCGGCCCACGGAGGACAACTGCCGTCCTCATCCGGCCCTCGAAGGAGTTCAGTCTGACACCTCTCTGATGCGGGGTCCCCTGCCTGATGCGGGGGGTGGACTAGAAGCCCTCCAAGGTCCCTTCCAACATGTGCCGTAGGTTCGCCATGACGGCCCTACGCAGTAGAACTCAATAGAGCCCCTGCCCTGGGAGAGAAGCGGTTTTCCAGCTTGAGGAAGGGGTGTCATGCCTGTTCCCAAGAACCCTGTCCTGCCTCGCAGGTGATCAACGCGGCCCTCACCTTGGCCGCCAGGCCTCAGAGCAAAGTGGCCCAGGACAACATGGACGTCTTCAAAGACCAGTGGGAGAAGCAGGTGCGAGTCCTGACCGAGGCCGTCGACGACATCACTTCCGTGGACGATTTCCTGTCTGTCTCAGGTATTTCCCCAGGGAAGGATTGGTCATTCAGTGACAGGTGCAGCGCAGAATGGCCGTGGGAAGATCCAGGGTTCGAATCCATCTCTGGCCCTAAGACCCGCGAGATAATATTTGGCCGACTCCCTAGGCCTCTGCCCAACGCAGGAGTGCAGGAAGTCTTGGACTTAGGACGGGCTGCTTAGCGATTGTTCGTAGTTCCGACAGACACCCACAAGGGATGGGAGGGAGCAGCTTAGCTGGGGCAGGGGTCTCCAATTCCCGATTCTGGGAGTTGAAGCCCCCCAGGCTTCAAGTGGCCAAGCTTGGAGACCCCTGATCTGGGGGACCCTCTCTTGCTGGTCACCTCCACCCAGCCCCCTTAGAAAGGGGAGGTAAGGAAGGTTACGGGTCCTGTCCCCTAAGGCAGAAAATTGGGCCGGACCGAGCAGAAGGGCCTCCTCCATGGTGGCTCCCTTTCTCTCTCTGGAACCTCCCTTCCCCCGAGATTAGACTGCCTGGCCCCCCTGGACTCTTTCAGGAGGAGCTGAAGGGGGAGAGCAGAAGGGGGCCCATTAAATGGCTGGTATGAGGGGGTATTGTCATCGGGGTGGGTGGGTTTTTTTATTTTGTATGTTGTGTTTTTATAGTTTATTTGTAAACTGCCTAGATTCACTGGGAGCGAGGAGTCCGCTGTATAAATTCTATGCATGCATGAAGGAAGGAATCATTGGCACAGGTGATCTAGTTCCAAAGTCCCAGTGGCCACGCCCCCTTATCTTAACCAGTGTCTCATTTCACAATGGAAATTTGGTCGTAAGCAAGGGTGGGATTCTACCTAGTCAGACCGATTCTACAGAACCGGTTGTTATGATTCTGCCCAGTTTGAAGAACTGGCAAATCGCGCCACTGGCTGGCCCCGCTCTGCCCCGCCTGCTCACTCCTTACCTGGCCTGCGCGCCATCCAACTTGCCTGCCTTTGGTAAGTTGCTATTTTTCCTTTTTTTTCCCCCCTGACCATCAGCTGTTCTGACTATCAGCTCTGCCGGGAGATTTAGATTAGCTAGAAAGCAGGAAATCGTTGCATTTCTTGCTTTCTAGCTAATCTAAAAGCAGAGCCGAACCTTCCTTAGGACCGAAGCTTCTAATTTTCAGTGCAGACTCAGGCAATAGATTGCAGAAAGATAGATCTCTGAGTGAATCTGTGATTCTGTGAGCAACTCAATCTGCCCACCTGCTTTGCTTGATTTTGGGTAAAAGCGGCTCTCTTTTTTTAATAAAATATTCAATATTTACATAAATATTTACATACAAGCCACACTCACCTAGTCACGTGATCACCAAGCCATGCTCCGTCAGCAAGCCATGCCCACCCAGTCACATGACCACCAAACCACACCCACAAATTAGGCCACGCCCACAGAACCGGTTGTTAAGAAATTTGAATCCCACCCCTGGTTGTAAGTCAAGGACCACCTGTAAAAAAATATCCAACATACCTTTTTGCTCTTTTTTCCCCCACAGCAGCCACCCTGTGATGCACATGTGAGGCCACCTATCTCACAGATATGGTGATTCTGGGGGGCTTAGAAAGGATCGAGATGATAAATAAATAACTAAATAAATAAAAGTTGCAGCATCCCTTAAGGCTGATGACGTGATCCAAATTCAGATACTTGGTAGCTGACTCATATTTATGTCCCCTTTTGCAACCAGATTCACTTAACAACCGTGTCACTATCTTAACACCTGCAGAGATTCACTTAACGATGGTGCAGGAAGGGTTGTAAAATGGGACACAGCGGTCTCACTAAGCAATAGAAATGTCGGACACTCACGTTAGCAGCTGCACTGATTCGCTGAACTAGGTTGCCAAGAAAGGCCGTCAAACGAGGCAAAATCCACTTAAAAAGCTCATGCACCAAGGAGCGGGAGCTTCGGCCTCCCTATTTTTGGGCATAAGTCGAGTCCTGCCCGTCTGTGAGTAACCCAGGCCCTGTTTCGTTGCAGAAAACCACATTCTGGAGGATGTCAACAAATGTGTGATTGCGTTGCAAGAGGGGGACGTCGATACCCTGGACCGGACCGCAGGGGCCATCCGAGGACGCGCCGCCAGGGTCATCCACATCATCAATGCCGAGATGGAAAACTACGAAGCCGGGGTTTACACCGAGAAAGTGCTAGAAGCCACGAAGCTGCTTTCCGAAACAGGTAAGCAAATGGAGAGCAAATGCCGTCAATTGGGGTTCAAAACCTCCATTTTATGACACTTGTAGGAACCGGTAGAAGACGGGGCGGCCCTCAGAGCTCTTTTAGGTTTAGAAACCTGTCACCAAAAATGCTGGAAGTGTAAGGATTCACCAGGTACAAACTGCCACATGTGGCGGACATGGAATCAAGCAAGGAAATATTGGCAACAGATTCAGACCTGGGTGGAGCAAATGGTGGGAGAACATATCCCATTGAAGCCAGAACTATTCCTCTTAGGAGTAATGACAGAAGGTCACATCAAAGGCGTAGCGTATTTAATAATACACATACTGACAGCGGAGAGAATGGTCTAGGCACAATACTGGAAGAATGAAAATACACCACCAGAAAGAGAGATAATAAGAAAAGAAATACTAGCTTGAGAAGAACTGGATAGACTAACTTTAGAACTGAAAAATAAGGGGGAATGAGAATATTATGATTCTCGGGATACGTTTTATCAATGGTTGCAGAAGAGAGGGGAAGTTCAGAACCCAAATAGCTAAGACAAATAGACCTAGATTGTGAATATTGTGCTAATAATGGGAATGTTAACGGTTTAGTAATACCTGTGTGTGTATGGAGGAATGATGCCTGAACAGCCGCACTGGGTTTGATATTTATAGTTGTAAACCATAAAAATATATGAAAAGAAAATCTCCTCCCTTTCCTGATGGCCCTCAACAGGCTGCTAAAAAGGGAAGGCGCTGGACCAGGGAGTTAGACTGAGGCTCGCGAGAGGCAGAAGTGGGGGTTGGGGTGGGCAGGTGTCTCTTTCACTTCGTGCACTTGTGGGAGGTTTTGTTTCGAGTTGTGGCTTCCTCCCCCGACTGAGATGGGCCGGAGCAGCGGAATTCAACCTGCTGAGTGACCTTTTGCTTTTCATTTGCTCCAATGGTAGCGGTTGCGTTGTGTGTCCTGCCTGGGGCTGCCCCGAGGGCTTTGTCGTTGTTGGTTAATCATTCTGAGACCTATAATCCTCTGGACTTGGACATTCACACCCCGACCCTTTGCTACGAAACAGAGACCAAGGGGGCGCCCTAACCTTAATGATAATAATAATAATAATAATAATAATAATAATAATAATAATAATAATACCACCTGGATTTGATGTGAGAATTTAATTCTATTCTCTTCCATTCTCTTCCTCTGTTCTGAAAGTGGCCTTGCATAAGCTCTGCTGACCCTTGTTTAAGGGAAGGCAGCCACCCCACCCGTGGGACCCCCTGGGGGTTTGTCCCAAGCGAGGAAGCCGAGAGACCAGGGTCCCCGTCTTTTTATGGGCAAGCAAGGGGGACTTTTTGGGTGGGTTTGGCTGCAAGACGGATCCTTAACCAGACAGGAAATCTTGGGCTTGTGGCCATCACACTGGTAAGCGAGACAACTTGTAAGTGAGTTTTGTTCCATTTTACGACCTTTCTTGCCACCGTGGTTCAGTGAATCTCCGCAGTTGTTAAGTGGGTAACATGGTTGTTAAGCGAATCTGGCTTCCCCCATTGACTTTGCTTGTCGGAAGGTTGCCAAAGGGGATCCCGTGACTCCAAGAAACACCAAACGTGGTCACCAAACCAGTAGTAGCCCTGGTTGAGTCCCACCCCGGCTCTAATCCTCTTGGTGGCTCCTCTCGGCATTCTTGCCAGAGTCTCAATATCCTTTTTATATCATGATGATCAAAAGTGGATGCCGGATTCCAAGTCTGGTCTTACCAGGGCCTTATAAAAGGGGTATTAACACTCCGCGTGCTCTTGATTCCACCCCTCTGTTTATGCAGCCAAGGATCGCGTTGGCTTTTCTTTTCTTTTTTTAATTGGATGACCGTCACCTTCCCCTAATTCTGAACGTTTCCTTTTTCTGCGTTCTCCCCTTGTGTCCCTTTTGGGGACACAGCCAGAAACATTTTTCCTGACATTGTGTTGGCCTCAACCGGCTGGGTTCTCCCACCGCATCCACCAGTCCTGCCAGGATCTCGTTTGTCTCTTGAGCAGACCTGGGCCATCTGGTCTGTCATCCAGATGCGCATCCCCTCAGCCTCGCAGTGGGGTGGGTCCATCTGCCGTTTGATGCTCAGATGCTCTGCGCCAAATATTCTGGGCAACCTGCCAGGTGCTCAGGCTACAAACCCAGCACGGCTCGCATCTCTTCCTTCCAGAAGCGCCGCCCAATGTCACCAGGACCTCGGCGGGAGCTGAAATTGCCTGGCTGGCTTGCTTCCAGCAAAGAGAGAGAAGAAAGAGTCCACAAAAGCTCAGGTTGACCTGGGAGCTCCCCCAATCCAGCGTGGCTCCAGCCTCTCCAACTCTTCGTCGGCTTCTTCCCTTCCACCTCCACCTTTAGCCCACCGGATGACAACAATTGGGAGTCTTTGTTTGGAAGTAGCCCAGGGGTCCCCAAACTTGGGCCACTTTAAGACTCATGGACTTCAACTCCCAGAATTCTCCAGCCAGTTCTGGGAGTTGAAGTCCACGAGTCTTAAAGTGGCCAAGTTTGGAAGGGACCGTGTAGGTCATCTAGTCCAACCCCAGCCCAAGCAGGAGACCCTACACCATTTCTGACCAATGGCAGTCCAATCTCTTCTCCAAAGCCTTCTCCAGGGATGGAGGTCTCACAGCTTCTGAAGGCAACTTCTGTTCCACGGGTGGATTGTTCTCACTTCAACTCTGCTGGCTGGAGAATTCTGGGAGCTGAAGTCCACGAGTCTTAAAGTGGCCAAGTTTGGAAGGGACCTCTGAAGTAGCCAAACATCTATGAAGACGATGTCTTGGTCTGCCTTCCCAGGATGTCCTTTCTCAAAGTCAGCCTTTCTGGCCCATTTTTATCAGTCTGCTGCCATTAGCTTCACCTTCCCTGTTGACCAAATGCCGCTGATAGACCTTGGGTGAGAAATCAATCCATTTAGAACAGAGCTGGAAGAGACCTTGGAGGTCTTCTAGTCCAGCCCCTTGCTCAAGCAGGAGAACCTACACCCTTTCAGAAAAGTGACTGTCTAGACTCTTCTTAAAAACTTCCTGTGATGACCCAGAGCGTGGCACAAAAATAACAAAGTCACAGAAGTAGATAAATTCCCTTTAATGCCTCCAACTTGGTCCCAATGTCCAATTATCCTTGGCTGGAGATCAAACTCTTTCAAAAACAGTCTACAAAGGGAAGAAATGCAGTCTGAACCCAAAGTAAAGATAATTAGAAATTTAAAAGCACACAAAATTGTGAGGATGCCAAAACCCAGATAAACCTTGACAAAGATAATGCACGGTTTGCTTCCAGCAACTTTGCCATGCACAGTTTGTCCTTTTAAACAGTCTTCCCAGCTGCAGCCCATGAAGGGGATCAGGGCCCTTTCCTCCTCCATAAACCACATTGCTCCCTTCTCCGTTCCTCCCTGCGTGCCCTAGGATGAAGAGGGGGTGGCCCTGGGTCCTCCTCTGAGGGCCCAGCTGGACTTTGCCCTTCCCCAGCCACCAGAGCCACACTCCCACTCCCTGTCAGCTGCTTGATGAAGCTCCCACAACTTCTGAAGGCAACTTCTGTTCCACTGGTTAATTGTCCTCACTGTTAGGAAGTGAGAGCAATCAACCAAATGGAACAGAAGTTGCCTTCAGAAGTTATGGGAGCTTCATCACTGGAGGCTTTCAAGGGGAGATTGGACTGCCATCTGTTAGAAATGGTATAGGGTCTCCTGCTTGGGTGGGGGGTTGGGCTAGATGACCTACAAGGTCCCTTCCAACTCTATGTATTCCTATGTAATTCCAGGTTGCTTCTCTATTTCCAAAGCTTGCGGTTTGTTAACAGTGGCAAAAAATAAAGGTCGTAAAATGAGCTAAAGCTCACTTAACAAATGCCTGGCTTGACCACAGATATTTTGGGCTCAATTTTGGTTGTAAACCGAGGACCTCTGCAAAAGACTCTTCCTGTACAGGTACAGTCGTTGTGACTCTCGGTTTTGATGCTGCTAGACCTTTCCGTGTGTGACGGATGCCTCTTGTCAGACGTTCCTGTTCCAATGTTCCCAATAGATCTGGGGAACAAATGGAGAAGGCAAGGGGCCTGTTTCTGTGTGGAGGCGAGAGGGAGATGATGGAATCATCAATTCAAGTGGGAGTTTATTTCAAACTCTTACAGTTTGTCTGAAGTTTGGGACAATGGAAACCTAATTAAATTCCTTAAATATAACGCGGCATAAGAAACATTTCAACGGTGTTTGAAAGGCTAAACAGCACCGTTCAAGTCTTCTGACAAGTTAAACAACACGGCTGAACTTCGCTGAAGTTTCTGGGAACAAACTAAAATTATGGGAATGTTACCTGAAAGAATCTGCCTGGGATCTAGAGTTAAATATGTCAGGGCGTCCTCAACGTACGACCACAATCGGAGCCAGAATGTCTGCTGCCAAGCAAGGCCAATCTCATTGTCCTCAATAAAGGTAATAATAAGGCAGTTGCTCAGTGAATCATGCAGTTATCATGCCCTATTTTATGACTTTTTTGCCACAGTTGTTATGCAAATCGTTGTTAAGCGAATCCTGCGGTTGTTAAACAAATCCGGCTTCCCCCATTGACTTAGCAAATGATCCTGGGATGCTACAACCATCGTAAATATATTTCCTTTTTTTAAAGAAAAACCTGTGAAGAGATCTAGTATCACTAGAAGAGAATACTCAGAGTTGAATTGTGGGGGTCCTTGGAGCTCTCTGAGCTTGGTTGCTTTCTGGCAGACATTTCATCACCCAAATAGGTAACATCATCAGTGCTGGAAGGGAGTGGAGTTTGCTCTGGGTTTACAGGTGAAATTCGAAAAATTAGAATATCGTGCAAAAGTTCATTTATTTCAGTAATGCACCTTAAAAGGTGAAACTAATATATGAGATAGACTCATTACATGCAAAGCAAGGTAGTTCAAGCCATGATGTGTCATAATTGTGATGATTATGGCTTATAGCTCATGAAAACCCCAAATCCACAATC